AATTGTCGTTAGACGAATCTATGATGCTGTGGCGGGGGCGTTTACAGCTCAAACAATACATAAAAAATAAAAGCCACAAGAACGGAATGCAGCTTTACATGCTTACAGAACCTGATGGGTTGGTGCTCAAATTCCACGTGTATGAAGGTTCATCAGATGAATATGACGGCACTGGACATACAACCAAAGTTGTTATGCACTTACTTGAAGAAAAGTTAGGTCAAGGGCACGCGGTATACCTCGACAACTTTTACAATAGTGTTGAATTAGCTACAAAGCTGCTGGAAAATGACACCTATTGTACCGGCACGCTGAGAAGTGACCGTCAGCACAACCCACAAGAAGTCATGAACGCGGAATTAAAACGGGGAGAAAACGAATCTTGGTTTTCTAAGGGAATTCATATTGGAAAATGGAAATACAAATACGACATCAGTTATATAAGCACTGAATTTGGGAATGAAACTGGCATTTCCAAGAGTAGAAGGGGAAAAGAAACTGTAAAACCTAAAGCCATTTTAAACTATGATAACTATATGTCAGGAATTGATCGCCAGGAGCTATTGTTGTCGTACTATCCTTCCAATGGCGAAACAATGAAGTGGTACAAGAAACTTTTCATTCATGTTCTACAAATGAGTTTGACAAATGCATACTATCTACATGGAAAGTATTCTGGTGGTCGTCGTCTTCGTTTATATGACTTTCGACTGGAGGTGATCAGAGATCTGTTAGCCCCAAGTGATGATTTACTTGTCCGTCCTCCTAATCAAAAAAAGAATTCGAACCCTAGACATTGCCTTTCAAAAATTGAGAAAACCGTAAATGAAATAAAGAAAGGGCATAGTGAAACCAAAAGAGTGTCTAGAAAGGAATGCAAAACCTGCAGGCAAAGCAAAATAAGAAAGCAGACTACGTTTGAATGCAAACAATGCCCTGGGATTCCTGGTTTTTGTGTAAAGTGCTTTGAAGACTTTCATAAAAAAAATTAATTATTGTCAGTCTGGTATTTCTTATATTGTTTGGCTTTAGACTTTGGCAAACTTTTTTATATTGTTTTGAATTTCTTGGTTATTTGCCGTAAACCAAACATGTTTTTTTCTTTGGTAAAACATTTTGCTACCAGTTTAGTTTTTGGGTGATATTCCTATATTTTTTTTTTTTTTTTTGGCTTTTAGCAAATTTATTTATGCGTTGTTTTAATTTTTCATGATTATTTACCCGTAAACCAAGTATGTTTTTTTTGCATACCTTTATCCTATTATCAGCTTAGTTCTTCTTTGTTCGTAATATAAAAATAAAAGATTTTTTCAATAATTACGGTGTTTCATATGTGTTATTTTTAAAATGAATAGAGACTCCGAATGGAGTATTTCAGTGAAAATATTATGAATTCCGACGCCGACCACTCCAATTGGAGTTTTTTTTCTTGCTAATTTGATAAAAAAAAAAAAAGTTGATATAACCATAATTTACATGATTTATAACATAAATGAAAGTAACAAAATAAATAAAACTTAACGGCATCGGAGAGTGCCTATGGTCGGCAGTCAACCTTTGATGGATATTATATTTTGGTTGAAATACATTTAAAGTCCAAAATTGATAAGTCCAGACCCTTTGTGAACCCAAAATTATTAAAGCTCAAAGTTACAATTTCATTTCATTATCTCCAGCCTAAATTTATTCTAGCAAAAACTTATGTTTTTCTTTTTAGTGCATATTTATATTTTATTGAAATAAAAGCTCTTTTAAAATTTTTTTTTTTTCTACAAACGTGTTAAAAATGCAATTTTTAACACCGCCCCGAAGCATTAAAAATGTTACTTTATCGCACTAGTGCCATAAAGTCTTTATAGCACTAGTGTTATAAGTGAAACATCAAATTTTGAGAGCGGACGTCAAAAAAAGTTTTTATTTTCAGTTATTTACATTGATAATAATGGTGAAATTTGAACAACTGAGGTAGCCCGATTGGCCGCCTCATCTATATTTTTCGAAGGATCGATGCAACTCTCTTTTTCTTCTGTATTTTGTTGCATTTTTAGCAAAAAGCATTCCTGACCACGACATACTTTCAAGAAACTGACAAGACATTTCGTTACCTGTAAAACAAGGTGCTAGTTGTATGGATTTTTTGACAAATGTCAAATTCAAGAATTTTATGTAGGAAAGATGCTTCCAATTTATTATTCATTTAAAAATCCAATTTGTTAGTGGTTATTGCTTTTTATTGCCGTTTGTAGAAAAAATATTGTATGATATTTGTGTTAAAAGTATTTTTAAGGCACTTATGTGAATTGCAGAATTCGCTTCGCTCATTCTGCAAACTTTCACATGCGTACCTTAAAAATGTACTTTTAACACTTATATCATAAATAACTATTTTATTGTTTTGTTTTCTACTTTTTAGTCTTTTGAAATCTTTCAAACAATATTTGATCTAGTATTTTTATATTTGAATTAAGTAATGAATGAATTTGTTTTGGCTTAAGTCGAGAATTGAACCTTCAGCCGTTGTTTCACGGCGAATGCTTAGATCAGATCATCAGATCATGTCATAATAATGGCCGAGTAGTAGTAATAGATACCTAATAATAAAAGCTTCCATATAGAAGAAAAAGTTGACAGTTGTTACTTGTTTAACCTATATTTAAAAAGTCACGTGTGAAAAAATCTTTCATTTCCGAACTCGCACAATATTTCATTGTCACATTAGACCTCCGCCATATTGAATGACGTCACTTAATTTATTGTCTTCCGCTTATGTAACCCTTTGATACCCATATCGTAGGGGTTGCTGCAAAAATGATTTCGCCATTTTGTGACGTCTGCCATATTGGATTCAGAATGACGTCAATCTACTTATTGTGTTCCGCTCATCAAGCTCTTTCATTTGATACCCATATCATAGGGGTTGCTGTGGAAATGATAAGTCGCCATGTTTTAACGACCGCCATATTGGATTTAGGATACCGTTACTTTACTTATTGTGTTTTGCTTATCAAGCCCTTTCATTTGGTACCTATATTATTTATTATCGGGGTTTGCTGTGGAAATGATAAGTCGCCATTTTGTAACGACCGCCATATTGGATTCAAAATGGCGGTATTTAGGTAATCGTGCATTGGTCACGTGAACCAAACGTGTGTGCCAAACTTCAACTGCATAGCTTCAGTAGAATTTGGTGAAATATTGATTGCAAAATTCCAGGATATACATACACATACCTACAAGTGCAAGTGAAGTTAAATAATAGCTACCTATTTATACAATACTAGCTAATGACCCGCTGCGTTGCCAGCGTGTAAATACATTTTGAAATAATACACTTCTTTTCAAATTTTGTTGTTGATTTTCTATTTTTTTTTTTTTTTTTTAAATCCGATATCAGAGTCGCTTGCCAGTGAGTTCATCAGTGGCGCATTTTAAGCACTCCAGAGCTGCTCTAGAGCGCCCCGGGCTGTTTATAGGCGTTCCAGTGTATCAGAGTTTTACGCAACCGAACTTTTTTTTCGGAATAAAAAATAGCCTATATCACTCTCCTCTATGTATAGCCGATTCGATTGACCGAATTAGATCTCCCGGTTCAATTTAAATGAACCACACTGTGTTCGATTCAAGCTGGATTAGTGCACCCTCATCAACAAAAAAATTATCTAGATCAGAAGAAGTTCACTTAAATCGAACCCAATTCGATCTAATCTGGGTCAATCGAATTCACCTTATATAGAGATACGTGGTATTAATTCAAGATCGGTCCAGCCGTTCTTGAATTCAAAAAATAATAAAGTTACGTCGGTTGAATGCAAGCCTAAATAAATGAAATATGGCAACGTTATTTCATGCTGTCAAAAAAAGTTGGGTTATGTTGTTATGTAATGTGAATGAGTTTGTTTACAATTAAATTAATAATTATTTCAAAATTAATTTCTTTTTCCGAGATGCGTAACCTATCCACAAACCTTCCTTGGGATGGCCATAACAACCTACCAAAGTTTCATCGTAATCGGATAAGTGGTTTTGGAGCGCATAACCGGATACCCCGTGAACTTTGATTTTTATATATATAGAAGTTACGAAATGAACGTCTTTTATAGCACAGAGCACGCGACATGAAATTTCCAAAGACGCAAAGCCGAATTGGACAACACGTCGAGTGACTAAGAGACATCGTTTCGTAACGTTTTGTACACAAGATTTTTTTTACTGGCATTTCATAATAAAAAAACACAATTTTATTTCATGTGAATAGAGCCGATCACGCTTAAAAAAAATTGTCACCCGCTTTTGCTTGACACCTGACCTGACACCTTTCATGCAATTTTTTTTTTCTTCATTATTCGACATCAATAATTGAAATCCTGCAAAAAGTAACCACACAAAATGTTTTGAGTAACCCAATCATTCAATTCAATAATTGCAGTTTAATTATTCATAATTAAAAGATAAAATTCAAATCTGTGTTAAGTGTGTCCTTTATTTCTGAACAATGCATGTCACTTTTAGGCACTAGTGCTCAAAAATCACTTTGACGCATTGAGTGCTCAAAAGGATGACAATTTAAAACTAAAATGACAATCAAAAAGTTACTATTATGAGACGTCAGACGTCAGTAGAAAAAAGCTTTTTAAAAGGAAAGAGTCTGTTTTGCAATTTGGATTCAGCGAATCAGAAAATACCAAATACAAAAGAAAAACTCACCCACACATAATCGAAACTTGAAATATCAAATACAAAAACCAAAAACCATCCTACCCGAAGTTTCAAAACAACACACCCCACAGCCGCGGTAATTAATTTAAAACAAATTTTAAATTTCCCTTTAATTTAAAATACACATACACATCATTTCTAAAATATATTGCCTGATGGCAATATAACTGGTGAAATATAACCAAAATCAGAATACCGCAATAAAAACGGTTTCAATTGAAAACACGAACAAAACGTTCTGTTTCTGTTTCCGATATTAATTTGCGTACATTTTTGTTTTCCAGATGATTCTGTTTCAATGGTTACGCATCAATCGCAACAGCGGTCTTGATGAAATGGTAAGTTTAACTTTTTCTATATAAAATACAAAACTGTCTATTTGTATTAGTTTTTAATATAATTCGGCACACAAAAGATAAAATTTAATTACCTAATTTTACTTTATAGCATATAAGTATTCAATAGAATCAGTCTAGGAAAATTGTCGATTTTCAAAAAAAAAAATCCTACCCAAAAGAACATTTCAGGGATGATAGGGGGAGGGTGGGAGATCATCAAACCGAAAATATCAAACATTCACCCCTCTGGCGTTTTGCGCTATAGGGGTTGAAAGTGCGCCATTGGCGATTACTTGGTACCTATTGATTTTACAAAAAAATGTTTCAAATAAAAGATGTGCAACATTATTTGATCTACAATGTTTATCTAAAGATTTTTTTTGATTAAGGGCCGTCTGTGGTCATAAGGGCCGTTTGAAATTTTATAATGAGAATGAAAAATTTTAACCAACGTGAAAAAATTTTCTACAACTCATACAACATTTTTGCTTTATGAAGTTTTTACTCACCCCCTGCCGTTTTTCAATAGGGGTAGTTTAAAGTTTTTTTATTTTTTTACAAAAAAAATTTCTTAATAAAAGTTTTATAAGATGACATTTTCTACAATTTTTCCTAATCAACTTTTTTTGTAACTCACCCCCATTCAGCGGGGGGACACTTCCCTCGGGGAAATTTTAGTTTTTATGGGTATATATTAATTTATTTTTTCTTTTCTCGCCTTTAGTGCATATAAAAAGGTGCAATTAACATTCTATTAAAAGGATTTTTTTTCCACCACCTTTTTGTTTTTAGGGGTAGTTCGCCTATTTTCAACTTTACAAAAAAAAGTTATAAAGAGAAGTTGCTCAAAATGATAAAATGAACAAGTTCTCTTTATAATTTTTTTTTGTAAAGTTGAAAATAGGCGAACTACCCCTAAAAACAAAAAGGTGGTGAAAAAAAAATCCTTTTAATACAATGTTAATTGCAACTTTTTATATGCACTAAAGGCAAGAAAAGAAAAAAAAATATATATATACCCCTAAAAACTAAAATTTTCCCGAGGGAAGTGTCCCCCCGCTGAATGGGGGTGAGTTACAAAAAAAGTTGATTGGAAAAAATTATAGAAAATGTCATCTTATAAAACTTTTATTGAGAAATTTTTTTTGTAAAAAAATAAAATAACTTTAAACTACCCCTATTGAAAAACGGCAGGGGGTGAGTAAAAACTTCATAAAGCAAAAATGTTATATGAGTTGTAGAAAATTTTTTCACATTGGTTAAAATTTTTCATTTTCATTATAAAATTTCAAACGGCCCTTATGACCACAGACGGCCCTTAATCAAAAAAATTTTTAGATAAACATTGTAGATCAAATAATGTTGCACATCTTTTATCTGAAACATTTTTTTGTAAAGTCAATAGGTACCAAGTTATCGCCAATGGCGCACTTTCAACCCCTATAGCGCAAAACGCCAGAGGGGTGAATGTTTGATATTTTCGGTTTTATGATCACCCACCCGCCCTCTATGATCCGTGAAAAGTTCATTTGGGTAGGAATTTTTTTTTTGCAATACATGTATTTTTCGACTATTTTCCTAGACTAAATGGGAATACAATAAAAGGATTCAGATGGCGTTTTTCACAAATAAATGAGTTTAATTTTTTTCGATTCGTTCAAAATAAATTAGAATTTTATTTATCTTAGGGTCGGTTTATCCAAGTTCTGATAAACTGTAAGGTATCTGATGAATAAAAACGCAATTTATAATCCCATTGGTCGACCAGTTATTCGCCGACCAATAGAATTATAGGTAGGTAGGTACTTAATTATAGAACGGTAAATTTATCTTGCAGATACCTAGTTACCAGCAAGTTTATTTGAAGATGAATAAACCAGACCTTGAAGTCGTAAATGCAAAAATTTAACTTAGGACTTGCAAAATAGCAAAATCGTCCTAGCATAAACTATTTATTTAATTTATAAATGTCCACATCAAAATCACACCAAACCCAAATTAACCTAATAAATTTCAATTAATTTCTTCAGCTCAATAATAGTTCCTAATAATTAAAAACAACCCACACCGCGCGGCCCAACTATTTAATAATTGCCTGGTTAATCTCGAAATTGTTTTAAGCTCAAAATTAATTTGCAAAATAGTTGAGCCAGTGAGAGAGAGAGTTACAGCCTGGGTGCTTATTAAAACAATTTGTATGCAGCCTTGGTCCCTTTGATGGATGCGTTAACTTTATGTAACATAACGGTAATTTGAGTTCCAGAGAGAATTTAAGCCAGAAGACACTAATTTTTTATACAAAATTTTTGTTTTGAGGTTAAGTCAAATTAGCCCAGTGTTGCGTGGGGGATGTGCCATAAACCGGAAATAATAAAAACTCAATTTTTTAATATATTGACGTAGGATAAGGAATAATATGGCCGAAGCAGCTGCTAGTGGGAGTACGAAAAACTGGTCTCCGGAAAAAGAATAATAAATTTACCCGAGCCGTCGGTTTGATATCAAATAATAATGGAAGGAATTGAGTTTAGCGTCACGTAAGCCGTATGCTTTACTAGGCAATCGGTAGGAGTCAGTAACGTTCGGCGAAGAATTTTAAATTGTTATTATGTAGGATCTTTTGGGTTTGAGTTGAATATATGCAGTTAGGTCAAGCGGAAGGGCAACTTCAAATGTGGGATGATTGTGGGATTACTGATACTCAGATAAATTGGGTAACATATAAAAATTACGTAGGTAATGAGAGTATTGTGGACAATTAGATTAGATCAAAATATGTCAAAAAAAAGCTAAAATAAACTAACTAATGAAATAAAATTATATACCATCCTACACAGATTTATTTATTCCTATCTGTTTTCTATATAACTTAATTTTCCTGGAATGAATTGTTGCGACTTACTGAAATTGAAAATGTCTCGAGAAATTTTGATTGAAAGTAAATAATTTAGTAGAATACATTTTGGGAGCTATTCTCTAAAATTTAAATTAATTGGAACAGAGCAATTAATGCAGTTTTTGAAATTTTCGAATTTCAAATCCATAATTGAAATGCATTTTTTTGATACCAACCAGAAAGATTCCGAAAGCTCGCATGAGAATAGTCCCTTTAACATTCGGGCCAATCGACCATTTTATCCTATTTCAGCGCGTTTTATAGTAAGCTGGAAAAATTGGTTTACAATTCGAGCATGAGTCTGCCTGCCAATGGTAATTGGTTGATGCAGTTGGTAGAAAAAATAACATCAATTTTCGTACCCATCAAGCATCAAGTTTGCTGGTATTACAGTTGGGTTAGACCAATGCTTGGACTCTACAACGGTGACAGTGCGAATACAACGACATGACTGACATGTTCAATATAAACAATGAGCTTATGTTATGTTCAACTTGGCGCTTGAGTAGTCATCCGACGTAGAGGAAGATCAAACCTATTAACATCTTAGTCAGCACACTTAGCGGCATACGCAGATGACATAAACATCATGTCTCGTAGAGCCAGAAGACACACCAGAAATAATATATGAATGTGAATGAGCGAAGTCAAAAACATTGGACTCGAAATAGACACACAAAAAACAAAGAAGCTGAAACAGACCTGAATAACAAGAAACAACAATGACAGAAGCACTAGAGTTGAACAAAATCTTGGAGCAGTTGAGAGATTGAAATACCTCTGGGAGTTGAAATAAACACATCGGGGAAGGGGGAAGGCGAAATACAAAACAGAACACAGACGGCAAATTAGACATTCTTCTCTTTTTAATTAGGTAACGGCCCAATTAAGAACCGATTGAGATGTGTTTTCTCTCTGCCGATTTGCTCTAATTTAATACTGGTTTATACAGTTGTTGGTTGCAATTTTTAGTGTGCCGATCAGAAAATACATGGAGACTCTGTCTTCATCTTACTTGTATTCTTCTCTTTGTCACAAGTGGTTCTCTCCGGAACCATCCAACATGAATCCAAGATCAAAATCTACATATCCGTCATCAGACTATGTATGTTATGGATGCGAATCATGGGTAATGACTGACAGTCTGAAAAGCAAGCTAGAGATTTTTCAAAGAAAACGCCTCCAAAAAATATATTATGGGGGGACATAAATAGGAATAAGATATGGAAACACGCTACAATCACAAACTATACTAATTGTTCACAGAAGTTCCTATATGAAGTACCCTTCATCAGGCTGTAAAGACTTCGATGAGCGGGTCATGTGATCAGAATACCAGAAGAGAGACTACCAAAGAGAGCATTTAACAGCCGAATGTGTGGAAAAAGATCGAACCGAAACGGAGGCCACGGAACAGACGGGAAGATAAAGTGGCACAGGAGTCACATGACGCTCGGGAACCAATGGGCGTCAGAGTATGGGGAAGAGAAGCCTTGGACCGCAATGTGTGGAGGCGGAAGATATCGGAGGCTAGGACCCAATTTAAGCTGTAGCGCCATTGAAGAGAGGGAGGGAGACCAATACTGTTCTATTTTCATGGTGAAGGACTAACCTCAAAAATCCGATGAGAATCATGTGCTTTCCCTATCAAGAGTGCGCTTTTTGCAAATTCACCATTGTTCGAATGGTTTATGTTGAAGCTGGTAAACCAGTTGTGATTTTTTTCGTAGATTTTGCTATGAGTTCCTTTGAGTGTCTCACTCAAGGTAGCTTCTGTCAGCATCGTTGGGATCTTTCCTCCTAGCCACTCCGCACATCAAGAGTTCTGGTTCGATCATGGGCCGAAAAGGGGCATTCTTTGGCAAGCTTGTCAGCCTTCTCGTTTTCTCGGTGAACTTCATGACCTGGAATGTAGGCCAGCGTTAGCCCATTTCGCCTCCCAAAGATTTGTTCCTCCTCTGGCTGCCAATTCATCTGTCCTTATTGGTAGGCACTTTTCCTAGTGATCTCTTGTTGGTATCTGTGTTCCGAAACTCTTCAAAGATATTACTTGGGGTGGCCACTGTGAGCATGCCCGCCCAAAATTCGATTTTTCTCGATTTCT